CACTCATGGCTAATAATATAAGATCACTTTATTGGCCCTATACAATTTCTTGCATTAGGGATTTGTCAGAGAGAAGCTTGGGGTCAGAGCGCAGGGTCAGCCATTTATACAGCTCCCCTGGAGCAGTTGGGGTTAAGGGCCTTGGTCAGGGGCCCAACGGAGTAGGACTCCTCTGCCAGCTGTGGGATTTGAACCGGCAACCTTCCAGCTACAGCCGCAGATCCTTAGCCACAGAGCCACAGCTCCGCCCTTTTTTTTATAAGAAAAAAACGAAAGGCTGATAGACTGCTGCCATTCCTTAATCACTTTCAGTGTGTTTTTCCACCTTCCTTCACCACGAACCCGATGACAGCTCCGTCTCACTCGAACAGCTGTCTTTCACATAGGAAGAGAAAAGATCATTTTTTGGAGTGTGAACCTTTGAAGGAATAGTCTTTCAAAAGAAGCCACGAATCACAAATGTCATGATTTAAATTGAGTACACTATTCTCTGAAGGTATTGACCCTCGCTTGCTCATAATAAGCTCATATGGATAGTAGCTGTCAAGTGTTACATAGTGTGGTTGCATCCCCCAGCTTGAATTGACTTAAGTATGCACACTAAAATCCCCATATTAATAAAGGGAATCTTGTGATATAATACTGTTAACATGATGGCACATGAACAGATTCTTGGGAAATAAGAACAGTCATTCACGACAGAACAAGAGTGACTTTGATGCGTTGCTGGGTTTGCCTTCACACTTATCACTGCGGACACCAGGGAATCTCACTCTTCATCAACTGTCCCCGAAGAACAGACTAAATGATTAACACCTTTGGGTTGTCCCTGTTTAAAAGTTTAATGACATGACCTTTTCTTTTTTTATCTCCTTAACTTTTCACTTTTCCGTGATACACCGTAGCGAAAGCAGAGTAAACCACCCTTAAGCAGTGGTAAATATATGGTCACGTGGCATGGGAGAAAGGCAAAATGCACAGTGGTAAATCGGGGTATGACAGCGTAATGACACAGTAATAGGTGCGACACTACAGACGGCGTTTCCATGGC